ATCACAGAAAACTGCACGCCCTCACACCCACACCCACACCCACACCCCCACCCACACTCACACACCCACACACCCACACCCACACACCCACACCCACAGACCCACCCAGACCCTCAACTCAATAAAAATTTCTCGACAGCCTGTGGATGCGAGTCAGAATATGCTCATTATTGACCAACACAAACCAACAACACACTTTAAACCGCAGAACATTTAATTTAAAGAGTAATATATATAGACTTGGTTTCATACAATAAAGAATAAAAAATGTTGCGCCTGATCAGACGCTTATATTCAGTGCTTTTAAACTTCGTAAACACATAGTTACGATAATTGTCTGAAATCGGCATACTAGTTTTGCACGTTCTATGGATCAGCTTCTATAATATTATCTCATGAAAATCAGAATAAGTTTGATTACTGTCATCTTCAATCCATGGATCAACAAGCTGTTGGCACAAGAAACACTTTAATTGACTGTCTGAATTGTTCCGTAAACGATTGAAACACACGTCACAGACAACTTTATGTCCACATGGCTGAAAACGATATTTTCTTGGATTATCCTCGCATATGGTGCATGATTTTTCTTTCAAATCTTCTAGACATTCTGCCAATTTTGATCTGATTTCTTTTGCATTTGGACGATCTACGGCTGATGATTGTAAGCATGACTTTATTAGATCTTCGTATATATGATTATATGGACTAAAAGGTGCGATTGATTTTAACAAGTATTCAACATTGCTTATGCTATCAGGACGATGGTAGCTGTTTTTCGGCAATAATTCATAAAGAAATACACCAAATGAATACACATCAGCAGCCTTACCATCATACATACAACCAGACTGTATCTCTGGAGCTAATGGAAATGTTCCTGTCATCGTTGAATTCGAAGTCCATTCTTTTGCTGTACCAAAATCGCTTAAATAGCATTGTTGATTTTTATCTATTAGTATATTTTTAGCTTTTATGTCACGATGTACAATTCCATTGGTATGTAACAAAACCAAAACATCTACCATATCTAATGCAATTTGAAGTACACGTTTCGGTTTGATCGTAACAATATTTTCTGTCAAGTATTTATCTAAGCTTTTCTCATACCTTGGTAAAAACATATATAACTCGCTCATATTACCGCTAAGTTGTTTATCATACAAATACAGAAGAGGCACAATATGAGGTAATTGAAATTGTTGTGGCTCGCCATCAGACGGAGGACGTTTGATCTTACGAAGTTGTGTGATTTTTCGATGATTATGTGCTTCCAAATATTGTAGGTGTGCATATTTATTTGATGATTGTTTCAGCTTTTTAACTGCCAAATCTTTCTCTGTTGACCATTCAGCTGGATAGATAACAAAATGTGTTCCATGCCCTAACTCTTCTGATTCATTGATCAATGGATTTTCTCCATTGAATTTCGCTAAATCTTTAAATGCTAGAAATTTACATTCTATTTCTCTAAAATCTTGTATATATTTATTAGTTGATTCATAAGCACTATTTCTGACTTTTAAATGTGTTATAGCAAGACGATAATTATTTTGAATATTATTATCAAACTCTTTCTTTTTATTTTCGATCCATAGTTGTAAATTTTGATTATATAAAGGTTTTTTTGCAGTAATTTTTGATCGCCTTCGTTTCAAGTATTCTGCAGCGAAATCACGTCGCTTTGATTCATCAACTAAAATTGATAATGAATCCATTGAATCGATAATGTCGTAATATTCTTCCTTGCTTCTCAAAAGATTCGAACTGATTTGATTCCAATACTTCTGATATGGGAGCTTTGAAAGTCCTCGTATCAAACGTAATAAAGCTAATGGTGCTATTGATAATTGAAATAAAACATTCTCCATCCATTTACGTTGACTAATCTCATCCGATGATATATCCATTAAAACTTGTCGTTGTGCAGTCAATAATAATTCATTTTTTTCTGTACTAATTAGAATTTCATGTTTAACTAACAATTGAAACTCTTCTTTAGCTTCATGTACAACTTCGTTTATAGCAACCTTAATAACTTCTTCTTGTACAACAATTTTAATAAAGTCTTTGATATTTTTTGTCACAACATCTCTTGTTTTACTTTGCAATGGATCATCGGAACGTTCTAATTTAATAGCTCGTTCAATAATACTATCGGAATGTTGATTGAACCGTTGAATGATTTTTTCATGAACCTTTTCTGCTACTTTCGATAAATCTTTTTGAAATTTTTGAAAAAACTTATCACCCCATCGTTTTGCATCGGAACAAATATCATCCCATTGTGCTTCTGTTCTATAGCTTGTTGATACAAAGAAATTGAAAATATTATCGATTTTTTCTATAATGGAATCAGCAATTTCATATGGTTGTTTCATTTCAGTTTTTAGAGCGAATTCAATAATACGTCGGCAAGCTTGTTCAGTCATTTCAATGGCACAATTACGCAACAATGAATGTCCAACAACACTGCTAATATCGAAATTGTCACATTTTGTATTTAAGATTTCAGTGGAAGCTTGATTTTCAATCATTGGTAACTTATTCGCAATTCCAATCGCTGAGTATAATGTTTGATAACGTTTTAATCGTTCACTAGGAAGAATTTCATGATATTTTGTAGGAGTAAACTGTTTCACGTTTTTCGCAGGGATGCGTGCACCATTGAATAGTGTCGTTATATCTTGTTTCGTATTTAAATAAAATATAGGCGGTTGTTCTTCATCACCTAATGCTGATCGAACCATTAAATAGCAATCATTTGCATCTTTGGCGAAAGTCGCGTTTGCATATAAAAAAACAAGTGTTGGTCGAACATACCGAACTAATTCTTGTAGATTATCTTTTAGTGTTGATTGATCATGAAATAATAAACCGGGTGTATCATAAACATCAATGCCTAGTTCAAGTATTGGCGATGGGATTCGAATTTCAACGAATCTTTTTGCCCAATCAATAAACTCTTTTTCAGTATTTAATTCTGGTCGAGCTATGTAAACATTTATTGTTTGTTCAATGCCTTTCCAGTCTACTGTTGAATTATTAAAATATTCTGCTAAAGATAGTTTGTCTTCTTCCTTTTGGTTCTCACTAAAAGCGTCTCGAATGGATGAGTAGACAATCAAGCATGCTTTTGATGGTATACTATATGAGAATTTAACAATACGTGCAGTCACTGGACCGGCACCAACAGGTAAAATATTATTTATCTTAAGAAATGTATGTAAAAATGTTGTTTTTCCACTTGAATTCGGACCGCAAAGAGCCAACTGAATTCGATCATATGTTCGATGATTATTTAAAAATTTAAAATCCAACGATTCTATTTCTTCTGTATACGGCTGTCTTATGGAATCACCTGTAGATAATGGGGAAATATCTTTTTGAAAGTTCAAATAGATATCCATAAAATCATTTGCCAATTGTTGTATTCCACATTTAATATGACGACTTGATTCAATAATTTGCTTTATACTATTTAATCCATTCGTTACGAGTTCACTTTTGGATTCAGTCGGCACATCATTTGATGCTGTTGTTGCTGCAGATGCCATTCAAACTCCAAAACTAGAAACTAGAAAATGATGATTTTTGATTTCAGTCTTTTTAATCGATGAGAGTTCAATTTGTGTCAAAACTGCAATTATATAAACATTTTATTTTATGAATATATGATTACCAAACATTCTTAGTCTAAAAATAATCCTTGAAAAGTTAACTATCGGCAATTTTATTACATGAACTGATGAACGAGAAGAAATAAGAGCTAATGAGTGTATGAGGACGTAGGTCTTGCGAACACTCTTATTTGTAAAAGCGAATTTCAGTGATCTTTTTTAAGATTTTCTCACCTTTTCTTCTTTATTTGTCTTTTTTCTTCATTTCAAATATTAGCAACACTTCTAACCTATAAGAAACACAAGGTAGATAGGATGTTTTCGGTGTGACGATAACACAATGACTGACACTTGACTTTCCCGAAGAAATCTTCTGCATTTTCCCCCACTTAAACAGGAGCATCATGTTGAATTTCTATGGATTTTTTCGGAGCGCCGGGAAATTTTTGAATAAAGATCCGGTTAACCGTAGCCCAAGTAAGAAAAACCTTACCTCATATCATGCCATTTACGCACTGCAGTTTTAAGAGCTTTATGAAAACCAAAAAAACGGTCTGATTCCCGAGTTATCCACCATTTTCTTCGAAATTTTTCTTCCATGCAGAGATTTGCTATTTTTAAGAAATATATATTTGTTAACCCTTTACAAAAAGGCTCAGAAAAGTTTTTCAGTGTAAAGATTGCTGCCGTTATTTCTTGAATTTTATTTTGATAGATATTGTTTCAGTCGTCAGTTTTATTCTATATTCTATTGACAGTGATTAGAACTGCAATATCACGGCACATCTCTCGTGCAAACGTTTGTGATAGTTAGAATGTGTTAAGTAGATGTGTGAGCTATTTCATTGGCAACTTTTAAGTGTACAAACCCATGAATGAAATAAATCCTCAATTGAATGTAAGGTAGCGGAAATGCAAAATTGGAGCGAATTTTTGTTTTCGTTCATATGTATATGGTTCGATAAAGCTTGAAAAACTAATCACGAATATATACTTTTTATTTTGACATAATCATTGTTTGGTTGAGAAAATCGTAAAAAACTATAATGAATAAGAAAATGCTATTTTTACCATAAATTATTTTTTTCTATAGAAATTGTCAAATTTCAATTTCAGTTATGTTGTGAACTTATTGAAAGCCCTATATTCGGAGTCAGCATGGAAAACTGAATAGAAAAACGTTATTTGATTGGTTGTAGAGCCGATGAGACTAAAAAATCTCTATTCAACATAAATAGCTCCATCAGTCAAAAAGTATGTATCAGTGAGCATTCTTGTAAGCCTACCTAGTTATTCTCAATAAGTGATAAAAGCAAATGTGTTATCTTGTTAGAACCACTAGACCATGGGCTACAAAAGTGTCTTTTTTTGTTCTTTAAAATTCGGTTTAACTGCCAAGAAAATTGAGTTTTTCCCACACTTGCTGGTAACATGGACAGAAGGAAAGAAAAATTCTGTTGGTATTTAGCAGTTTTAGTATCATAATGCTGTGAAAAGGCAATATAGATAAGATATTCGGAGTCAGCATCAAAAACTGCATTAAATCAAATAGGTTCGATGAATCCATTTTTCCTGCGAAAACTTACTCTGGGGACTAGGGAAGAAATTTTCAAAAAATACACCTGAGGGGGACTACAGGTTGATTTTTCATTGGAAATAAGTTTTACTTAAGCATACAACATTCGATGCAGTTTTTGATGCTGACCCCAAATATCTTATCTATTTTGCCTTTTCACTGCGTTATGATACTAAAACCGCTAAATATCAACAGATTTTTCTTCCCTTCTCTCCATGTTACCGGCAAGTGTGGAAAAAAACCAATTTTCTTGGCAATTAAACCGAATTTTAAAAAACAAAATAGGCACTTTTGTAGCCCATGGTCTAGTGGTTCTAACAAGATAACATAGTTGCTTTTATCACTTATTGAGAAAAACCAGATAGGTTTACAAGAAAACTCAGTGATACATACTTTCAGTCTGAGGAATCTATTTATATTCGATAGGATTAACGGCTGATCGGAAAGTTTTTGCACAAGATGTTTCTTCACTTTTGACTCACTAGAAAGTATTTTCAACGAGTGAAAAGCTATGAGTTAGGACCAGAATTTCGCACTCTTTTCGAATATGAGCTTAGAAATTTTGTGCCAGTTTCTATTCAAGAGTAGTTAAATAATCTTTGAAAGACTCAAAATATTAGATTGTATGGAAATTTTTTCGCACATTTTGGTCTTTTTGTTGTCTCGATCCAAAACTAAAACTTGCAACCTTTATTATTATACCAGCTTGCATAGCAAAACCTATGCTACAAAATGTGGTATTTGAGTTTTTTATGTCATTGAACAAGGCTTCTGAATTTCCGTTTTTCCTAAATCGTCATTTTTGAAAAATCGTTTGACGTGGAACGAGCTCTTGGAAAAATGTGAATAGTTTTCTTTTGATAAAAACTAAAGCTTAGTTCAATATCGCATTTTGTAAAGAATTGTTTGCTCTATAAAACTACCGAATCCGAGAATTTTTAGCATCTTTCCAAAATGACTTGTATGAGTTAGCAAAACCTGTTGGTTCGCTGCCCAAACTTTTTGTTTGAGCCTTTCAAAGATTTCCTCACTCGCCTCGAACAAAACCAGATAGAACATTTGTAGGTCCATGTTCAGAATGCGAGCAAAATTCTGGTTCTGATCTCGAATTTTGATTCATCTTGAAATACTTCGAAGCTAGTCAAAATAAATAAATATTTTGATCAGAAACTACGACCCACGGGATGCGTCCAAACCAATTTTTTGGTTCTTTCAAAGATTGTTTCATTGCTCTCGAACAGAAACGGATACAGAAATTCTAAGTTCATATTCGGAAAGAGTACAAATTTCTGATCCTAACTCATAGCTTTACAATCACTGAGAATATTTTCTAGTGAGTCAAAATTGCACAAACATCTTGTGAAAAAGCTTTCCGATCAGCCGTTATTTTGGCTCTATTTGCTCTACATCTAGAAATTTTACATTTTCGCTACCTTACAGTTGAATGAAATTACTTAATCTTTGGAATTAATAATAAATGCTTACATAATAAATTGAAGATCAGTGTATCCGAATGAAAATAATTTTTACCGTTAAAATAACAATGAAATCTGAAAAGAAATCAAATATTCTTCTGGAGTAAAAGTTAGAAAATGTTAAAAGTAGAAAAATAATTTTCTAAGAAAAAAAGCTGTAAGTGGCGAATTATAAAAGCATTAAAGTCAGCGTATATTCAATGGAGAAAAACAACTCAGACTTTTTCTAATAAAGATCTCAGTACTTCAGCAATCTTAGATGCTTTCGGTCGGCAAATGGGATCTTGATCAAGGCATTTCTCAATTAAACTTTTAAATTCATTAAGTATTTCCACCATATTTTCATGTTTTTCCAAAGATTCATAGAGCAACATTCCTAATTCACCCAGAGAATAAATATCATTCCCAATTGTTGTCAGTTCCTGATGTTTTTTGTATTTATGAGCATATTCCTCAAGAGTTTCATTCATTCTTGTAGAATGAAAGTCACCTAATAAATATTTGTCATCATTTTTAATGTAAATATTTCTTACATTAACATTTCCATGAATAAGTTCATTATCATGAAATTTTTGAAGGCATGCCGCTATAGTTAGAATAATATTGAAAATATTTTTAATTGTTAATGTATTTATCTTATTTTCTAAACATTCATATTTTGGAAAAAACATCCATAATTCATTATCATTATTTTCATAAAGATATAATAATGGAAGACAATTTGGAATACTCATCTTTGATAGTTCTAGATAATAATGTGCTTCTAAATACTGCATATTGGACACGTTTGTCAACTTTTTAACAATTAAATCTTTTCTATCTAACCATTCCGCTGAGTAAAACTGAAAAAATTTGTTGTCATCGATAAAAATTTGTTCCTCTAAATTCAGTATAGGAATATGTCCATTAAATGAAATCAAACTTTGAGCAATAATTAATTTACATTGAATATGTGCAAATTGTTCAGAATATTTATTGGTCACATCATAAGCTTTATTTCTTTGTGGTAAAAACTTTTTCGCTAATTCATATTGTTCATAAATTTTCTCTTTTACTTCTTGTTTCTCCTCCTCACACCATTGCTCAAGAATTTGATTTAGATGATTTTTTTGCTTCATAAATCCTGATCGAATATCATTTAAATATTGCTGCGCTATGTCTCTTTGATCCATGTTTTTCGATCGAACGATTCTTCGATTGACATCTTGACGTAATTTCTTTTTTAATTCGTTACGTGCTGAATTCTTTTTCGCTTTCGTATCATTATCTTCTTCATCTGTTTCAATTAGTATATCACAAATAAAATATAATGGTTTTGTACTAGCCTTCAATAAATAAAATTGACAAAATGTTTCATCATCTGTATTTACTTGATGACCTAAAAGATTTTGTTGTACAACGACTAAAAATTCGTTTTTATCGGCATTATTTAAGAGAGATGGATCAAAAAGTGCTCGGAAAATTGATCTTATAGCATATTGTGCGATGAATTTTGTTATGATTACATTAATAATTTCTTCTTTCACAAGTGTTCTGATATATTGTCCCATAGTTGCAACAGCATCTAGTTTTGCTGCTCTTTGAACAATACTATCCATCTTTTCATTTATTTCGCTTGCAATAACGTCATACAATTTTCTTAAAATGCCATCTAAATCACTTTGATACTCAATGAAATACTTTTCAGTCCATTGGCAAGCATTTCTACGTAATTCTTGTAGTTGTTCATTTGTTCGATGCGTTGCAACAAATGCGAAGTCAAAAAATGAATTGATAGTCGATAGAACTAATGCATTAACTTTTTTTGCTAATTTTAAATCTGAATTAGCGACGAATTGGATTAAATGATCAATCGTTAACTGATTCATTTTCGCACCATTTAGATC